CCCTGGCTCCTCCCCCGGCTCGGCTGAGGCGCTGAAAGGTAAAACGTGAGAAGCCCTCGCGTTGTCGGTAACGCAGCCTTGAGCCATGGGGGTTTGCGGTGCCGGGTGTTTGCTTGGTGATTTTGGGTTTATTTTAAAATAGTCGAGATGTGCCATTTTTAATTTGGAATGACTTGAAACATGTATCCAAATTTTAATTGCATTGCCCTACCACTTTTATTAAAAAAATATACTCCGAATAAGAATCATAGGAAAAAACTTTCCCTTTGGTAGTTCTTTCCCTAAAGCTTGTCCCTGGGTTGGCGAGGACCCCATTATACACATCTGGAAATGAACACAAGCTGGATGAAATAAAGCAGCGGGCGGGAGGTGCCTTGTCCTCGCTCTGGCCCTGTCAGGAGAGGGGCTGAGCGTTCTGGAGCTGAAAGGGTGGAGGGTGTTTCGGTTGAGGCCAAGCTCCGTTTTTTGTTGATACGCTTTGCTCAGGTTAAATAAACAACCAACATCAAACCACACAAATTCAACTAAAAATTATCAACGAGTTTCATGTACAGGAGTGCATAATCTGAGATGGTTGGCCTTGTTAAGGGCTGTGGCAGAAATCCAGTTATCAGAAACGCATGACGCAGTGAGTGTAATTTAGCTGTGAGGTAAGTTTTTAGTCCTGTAAAGGTATCATCTCTTTCCTGTCCTGGCAGTAAAACCAGAAATGTTTTATTCTAAATAAGTTTTAAAGTATATTAAATAACTGGAAATGCAATTTATATAGGCAGATATTAATGTAAAAAGAAATATCACATTGGCAGACAAAAACCTGTGCTGTGCTTAATGTTTTAAACATAAGTTTAAATAGTTAACTAAAGAAGATGAAAATATTAAAATGCATTTAAAAATTAGATTTGGCTTTCAGAAGAGAAACACCTTGGAAGGACCATTTTAGATATGAACTAACCCAACACAGTAATGCCAGTTATTGGTATATTTACTCACAGAAATCTGTGGATGTGTTTTAACTTTAGTTGTCATGGATCTTGGCTAGCTGATAAAAACTGAGGAGAGTTTTCTGAAAAAAAAGGACAAAATGTACCGGTGATGTGTTTCTGAAAGGTGGGTAACTGAACCACCTCATTGTCTTGTGACCCAGAAAGCATATAGGCCACAAGTTGATGCATTTGCTGGATTTATCTTTCTTAAGTAGCATTTTGCATGTAATTTGGAAGCTCATATTTTGTGCTTTAAATAGTAAAATACTATTTGTGAGAATAGTTTCACTTAAAAGAAGTGAAGTTTTCATTGCAGAATCCATGCCAAATATCAGATTTCCTTAACAAAGGGAAAAGAACTTACAGAATGACCAAGGATTGGTTTCCAAAGCAATATATGTAGTTTAAAATAAGGTCTAGTTAGTGATTGTACAATGATAGTATTTTAAGATCTTGGGGAAGGAAGGGCGATTGCTATAGCAAATGCTACCCTGAACTTACCATACCTGAGTAAAAAAGGAAATTTTGTACTCTTGATAATTTAGTTATCTACTATTTTGTTATCATCTCTATGTCATATAATAAATGCTAAAAGCATTAAAGTATGCTTGCATAGGTACGCATTTTGTTTTAGTTAGTGGGTATATGACTTCATAATGTTAGTATTCTAGAAATTAATTTGTTTGATTTTAGATACCATGCTGGATACTTGATAAAAAAAGCCAAACAATCAATAGCTTCAACCTTATCATTTTTAATGCTGAGACTAATTCATACCATCAGAAAAAAATACACAAGCCTGTCTACATTCCAGTTCAGACTCAAAGCGGTTTGCATTTCCATCGCAGCCACCATACCAAAACTGAGCACAAGCATTGGCTTGTTTATCATAATACCATCTGATTGTATAAACACGGCATGGCCCTTGATCTAGCCTTAGCTTGCACCGGAGGTCCACAGTACTTTCTGAAATTAAAAAAAAAAAAGAATAGAAACCATTCCGTTTGTAAAAGTCAGTTGTATTATATAGATTTTACCTTTAAAATTCTGACTTTGTTTTATTTTTTTCTGCTAATCTTGTACAATAGTTTAATTTTTAAAACTAAAGATGTAAATATTGAAGCCAAGTTACAAGTGCATCTTAGTAGTCAGATAAACTGTTCCTTTACTGGCATGATTCTAGGAATTCCAGAAATAATAGTATTATGGCTCCACATACAAAAAGAGCAAACAAGATGAATATGATAGTTTTTAAACACTTTTTTTTGAAATCTGATTATGTGCAACCAGTCTCATGAGCAAACTGAAATTGTAAGCCAAAGAGCTGTGAGCTAGTTGTATCTGCTGTTTTTACATCTACTGCATCCTTCTGCTGTACGTTTTCCTTGTTGTGTGGGAGAAGAGACAAAATACTGAGAAGAGTATAAAAATCTTGTCTTGCTTTTGTAAGATATTTGTGCTACTTATCTAATAAAATGGTAGTAATTGTGTAATAAGTTTGAATTTAAAACTCCTACAGATACGGAGGACTGTAACATACTAATCTAGTCTCACTCACTTTAATTTAATTTATTTAATACCATGAGATAGAAAACAGTTTTCTATGAAGTTTAATGTTGTGACTAAAATTTTGTCTTTTGCAACTGGTATATTGTCACTTTTTTCGAACAAAAACGTTAGTTACAGAGACTGAGTAAGTTGTGCCACTGTTCCCAGGAAACATGGGAACGTGTTTCTATCACTCTCTTCTGTTACTCCTATCATAATGCACTATTACTGGAACTGAAAATCCCCCAAATGATGAATGAAATACATTTGGACATTTCATATAAAAAGAATCAGCCCTTTACGCACTCAGCTAATTATTATACTCAAAATGACTAAACACTGTTTTTTCCTATTGCTCCTCTGAAAGAGAAATACATTCTTTCTGTCCAATTCCAAAATCACTGTCTTTGTTTTTAATGAAGCCTCCCACCTCTGTAGATTGCCCCTCCTTGTGCTGACTGGCCCACCCTCAGTGAGCATTATGTTCTCTTTTTGATGCCCCTTAGGAGCTCCCTCTTAGGTTATAGACAACTTTACTTTTGCTTTAAGTGGAGAGGTGGGATCCCAATTTTGGGAAGACAAGAACTGCAACTAGACTTGTTATAAAATCCTGAAATGACATCTATAGCACAAACTCACAAAATCTTTGGAAAATGGAACAAAATTACTCTGATTTAAAGCCTTATTAAAATTTAGTACCGGGTGAAGAGAGAACAAAATGATAAACTAGTTGTGATCTACAACCCACCATGTCTTGGTGTGGGGCCTGCAGTTGAAAGAGATGATGTCATCATTTTACTGGATGGTGGTTGTTTAGATGACAATAATGGTAACACAGCTGCAGGTGAAAGTAAGCAGAATGAGACACTGATTTTTCATCAGCCAAAAATGAAAATGAAGAAATGAATGACAATAGAAATACCTCTAGTGTTTACTGTTAGAGTTGGCTGTTTTTCTTCATCTTGTTCCTCTTCATAGGCTTCATAGACTACAGGAGGTACGTTGGTCTGAAATAAGCATTTGATTTTTTTTCTTTTCAGATACAGTGCAGTGTTTCAAAATGAACAAGTCCTCCATGACTTCAAGATTTTCTAATGTTTTTCCTTTCCATTTACCCTGACTTTAGTGTTAAGAACCAGAATTTTAACTTCTCCTGGTTGGTTTACCAGGAAAAGTTGTCATATCTAAATGGGGGATAAATATTTTTTTTTTAGTTGAGCTTTACAGAAGTTTATTTAAAGACTTAAAATTATAATCTACAATTGAGTTCAATTACTGTTCTTAGACTTAATTATAACAGTGTAATTGCTTTTTAATATTGTTATGATTTACACTGTGGCACAAATATTACTGTATTAAGCACAGGAATCCTCGTAACAGTATCAGGAATAAGTTACAGCTATTAGTTAATTGCCTGCAGGCAACATAAGAGCTCTTACTCAGTACAATCAGCTCTGAGCTTTCCAAGTTAAAGTAGCTGTCCTGCAGAAAATTAAGGGAAATTATATAAATTATGTTAGGTGGCACAGAAGGAGATAGACTTTAAATTTCTGCTTGTTAAAGCCTGCTGAATTTTCATACCGGAGCTAATGGTTGAGGAAGATGGCCAAGACTCAGAGGACTTTCTACTGTAGATACTCCAAGTGTCTGTGCTGCAAGTGATTGTCTATTAACATTGTTCTTCTGAAGTATGTAATGTAAAGAACTTGGAGATACTGAATGGAAGGATCGTCCACTTGCACCATTTTCATTATGGTTGTATACTAAGGTGCCATGTTCATCTTCACAAAATTGATTGACTAATTTAGACTCCAGAGCTGTTTAAAAAAAAAAAAAAGTAGAAAACTTATCATACTGAGGAATTCAATGTATTTTTAAAATTTGGATTACTTACATATGTCAGTAATATACACATAATTCAGAACTCCTTCAGATTGTTACCACGCATCTAAGATTATTCCAGACTCTTTGGAGTATGGATTTTTTGGTCACAAATTTGCCATTGTGTAAGTCCTCCATATGGTAGAAAATACGATGAACTCACATATGGGTGTTCATCTAAGCTTACTAACAATTACTAGCTGGTAATGCTAAAACAACTGCTTATCTTGCTGATGAGAATAACCAAGTGAAAACGGGTTATTTTCCTGGGGAAGTGAATGAGTAGCATTTATGACAATGGGTTTCATTCTGATTTACAGTCAGCAGATTTTCAGTGCATGAACACTTAGAAAGCTTAAGTAGCTGTTTTTCTAGACTGGGTGACATTTCCCCATCGGCATGTTGCCCCATAATGTAACACCATAGACAAAGGGGATTTGTATCTCTAGATTCCTATTACTTTTCAGCATCAAAACATATCCACAAAGATTATGCTTCTCCCCCACCCTGCCCCCTTCTGAGAAGCATCAGATACAAAGCAGAATAAAACTTCAGTGAACTCACCTGAGAGGGTGTTAAAGTCATCAATGAGATACATGTGTTCTCTGTCTGGGTCTGAAGCAATCATGTTTAGCTCACGCACAAACTCATCCTGTGTTGGATCTGAAGTATTTACGATTCCTATTGCATACATTTCGATGCTTGCTGCATGGGCCTCTCGAACAACAAGATCTAGTTTTACAGCTTCTCTCTTGTCAGTTTGGCCATCTGTTAGCACAATAGCTACTTTCCGCACCCCTGCTCGAGCACCAGAAAATCCTTCCTGGGTTGCTTTGCGGATAGCAGTTCCTGTGTAGGTGCCTTCTCCCATGTACTGCATTTTTCTAATTGCTCGCTTAACATCCTGTTGGGTTGGATACTTGTTGAGACCAAATTCTAGTCGAACTTCTAAACTGTATAACACAAGGGCAATTCTGGTGGCATTTCTGCCTACAGTTACTCTATCTACTAAAGCAGTTACAAAGTCTTTGATAATCTCAAAATTTTCTGGTCCCACACTCTCAGAGCTGTCAATCACAAATACAAGCTCCATAGGAATTTCCTTACATTTAATACTGCAACCTACAAAGGAAAAATAAAACAGACCCAGATTACAATGACTTGATTTGGCATGCTTTTGGAAAAGTGAGGAATTCAAATGTAAAGAATATAGAATCTGAATGTGACAATTTCCCGAGTTCTTACCACATATCTCTTTAATTAATTTAATTATATCTTCTCTCTGGATGTGGGAAAAAAAAAAAGTATTTTACAACTTGCCTCTTTCAAATGAGGTATAATATTGATACTAACAAAGATTTTGTTTATAATTAATATTTGTGTTCTACAGTGACTTAGAAAAATCTAACTCTTAAACTTCCAAACTTGTCCTTGGGAATGAGTGCCACATTTTACAATGAACTATTTCATATGCATACAAGAACCAATAACCTGAAAACATGTTAACGTCTCTATCTAAAACAATTAACTCCTTATTTTATAGAATGTTTGGGATTAATTGTTTCTCATTAAAACTAAAAGGCATAAATATTTTAGCACCTGAATAATATCACATCCCTTTTAAATGTACTGGGAGCAGAGAAATAGACCTAACTTTAGGAAGTGTAGGATTGCTTGTAGTGAACTGACGTGCCAGAGCACCAATACAGAACGGAACTGGGAGTTGTCATCCCTGATGTACCTGGCCCACTCTATTACTCAGCCTTCATCAGCACAAAACCCCAAAACTGCTACCTTCAGAGCTGTCTGTTCAGAAAAATGATAGCTTCTGTGACATGTGAACAAAGTGTTTCTCAGTATTAGAGCAATCATTTGTCGTATCTTTTGAAGTGCATGACAGGACTCATCTGGCATTGAATCAGTCTTTCATATACAACCTTTTGCTACTGTTCCTTACCTTCCATCATAAACCATAGTACTATTTATATACTCACTGACATACTTTACTGAATTTGGCTCAACTGTGGAAAAGGCTTAGCAGAAATATAAATAAGTTCATAGCATGATAGAGCATGAAAAGTTTGGAGATATTTTGCTCTTTAGACTCTTAAATACTTGCAAAAAAACCATCCTGCATCAAGTACACACCTGGGTGATCTAACACTACCTGTAAAAAAACATCTAGCAGAAAAATAGCTAAAGTCACCTGGAACTTTTAATTCTATTTCAGCATAAAGTGCATGAGAAAAAATCAGAAATATTTTGAGTTGGTTTTTTTTCTATATCATATATATATATGATATAGATAAAAATATATTGAGACAGCTGAGACAGCTTCTAATCTGAAAGCTCTTTCCAAAATAATTAAAAGGCTACATTTCATATGGTAGTGTTTTTTATATCTTGTTGTAATGGGATTTAAATAATGAATTTGCTTACTGTTAGACCTTGGTCTCCCTTTGGTCCGGCTTTGCCCTGTAACAGTGAGTGGTAATTAAGCTATTGCAATTAGATAGTAACATTGTAATTCAGAATACAACTTCATCAATCCCATTATTAGAATAATATTTGACCAACAGGAAGTTAAACTAGAAAAAGTGTGCTTCTGATGCATATGCACTGCCTTATACGTGTAGTACCTGCAACCTCCTAAGGTGGTTTATGGGAATTGGATGACCTCAAGTCTCCCACTGGATCGCTGATTGTCAGTTGTCTTTCGCTGCTTTCCTGGTTTTGGCTGGGATAGAGTTAATTTCCTTCTTAGCAGCTGGTTCAGTGCTGTGTTTTGGATTTACTATGAGAATCATGTTGACAACACACTGTTGTTTTGGTTGTTGCTAAGTGGTGCTTACCCATAGTCCAGGACTTTTCAGTTTCCCATGCTCTGTCGGTGAGAGGCTGCACAAGGAGCTGGGGGAGCATGGCCAGGACAGCTGACCCGGACAGGCCAAAGGGATATCCCACAGCATGGGAGGGCACACTCGGGACAGGAACTGGGAGAGTCGGCTGGGAGGGGCTGATCACTGCTTGGGGATGGGCTGGGCATCCATCAGCAGGTGGAGAGCAATCTTATTGGGCATCACCTGACTTTTTTATGATTATGACTATGATTATCCTTGGTTCACTTATTAGACTGGTTTATATCCACCTGTGAGTCTTCTGCTTGTTTAGGGTTTTTTTCCTTTTTTTTTTCTGATTTTCCTCCCCATCATACCAGTCCTGTGGGGTAGATAATCAAGTGGCTGTGAAGTATTTAGTTGCTGGTTGGGGTTAAACCAGGACAACTGCCTTAAGGAAGAAAACACATCCATGTGACAAGTGGGGTATTAATCAAGTAAATGTCTGTGCTTTCAAAAATTTTTAATAGTTTCAGTTTCTTAAGTGTTTCAGATTATATGGATTATATGTAATTAAATAGAAAGAAGAACACACAATCCAGCTTTGTTTTTGAGTGGTTAAAGAAAGCATCTGTAATAAACCTGAGTTACTCACAGGTTCTCCAGGTAAACCAGGGTCACCCACATCACCTTTTTCTCCTTTTTTCCCCTTGTCACCTGTGGCTCCTCGATCTCCCTTTAAAACCATGGTGGCAAGCAGACAGAAGGTGAAAGTCAGTTTTTGTTACACTTTTCAAATTTCTCTCTAGTAGCCTTTGTTGAATGCACATTAAACTTGTGAGAGTTTAGAGTTAGAAATGAGTTAGAAATCTTCATTAGAGATTATTTAAATAAATTGGTACTTTGTGAACTTTGTTAATAACTTATAGTTTTGGCTAAGCATTTTTATGGGAAAAAATACCTGAAGTGGTCTGAACAGTGAAGTATCTCAAACAACTACATTCAGACTGAGACTTATAATGGGATATTGCATGATGGAAATTATTATCTGTGCCTTAGAAAAATAAGATAACACTAGGGAAATAGAAAAGAAATCCAAGGGTGTCATTGGAATGAATAATGGGAATATCACTCTGAGAAACCTTTTGGCCCAGAAAAGGTGTTTGGCATAGCAAACAAATGTATTAGTGCTTCTTGGTTTCATTTTTAGTAGACTATGGGACTTTGTGCAGCCTTTTGGAGCCATTGTGATCACATCTAAAAACTGATTCCAACCTACCGTTCTCTTTTTCTTAACACTGATGTAGTCCCAAAATTTTGCATAGCAGGTAGGTGAAAGACAGTGATATTAAATACAATATTTTAATAAAAAAATAATAATATAACTTCTAATAACAATAAAACTTCCAATAATCGTATAATCTTCTAGTGTCTGGGGCTCCCTTTACATGGAATTCACATGCCTTCAATGAGTACTGACTGTAAAAGGGCATTTTGAGTGTGTTGGCTTCCATCTAGAGCATTATCTCACTGTTATCTCTGATTTAGATATCGTACCTTCTCTCCCAGAAGCCCATCTCCAGGGGGGCCTCGTGGTCCTGGCATTCCTTGAATACCTTGTTCCCCCTAATGATAATCCAGGTAGTGGTATTAACCCTTTGTAAACATCATCACACAGTAATTTAAAATGTTCAAAGAGAAACTTTTCAAACTGCATTTTAACAAGCATCTTGAGGCACTTGAGACAATTTATTGGCTAACTTATATTTCTCAAATACTTCTTCTGTATAAAGAATACAGTTATGAAAACCCACATGATCATTATTGGATTTAATTTTAATTTGATTGTAATTTTATTTTTTTCCCTCTTTATATCACATTTTATTCCTTTTCATTCTGCCTTTCTTACCTCTATCTTTTGAGTCTGTCTCATCTGACCAATGCTTTGGATAAAAGGGCATATTGCAAAGAAAAATTAATAGTACACACAGATTCAGGAGGGAGGCTTTTTCTCTACTAAATAGAGTGGTAGTACACATAACTAATTCAGACTGTTTCTGCAAGCATGAGAGTTGAGGGAGTGGTATTTTAAATTTTGTAAAGGTATCTTTAACTGGTAAAAGTTCATTCTTCCTTTGTCAACACACACATGCTTGGACTAGTTTGCAGTGGTAGACAGAACATACTTTGCAGGTGCTCACATTATCCTTCTCATTTTCTAGCCTTAGGCTCTCTTCGTATAAGAAACAATGTGAAATCTCCTTAACACTGTGATGGTCAGATTGACCACTCAACACAGGTTAAATATTGAAGACAGTGAATGTTTTTACCTTAGTTCCTTGAACACCTTCACCAGGAGGTCCCATAGAGCCAGGTGGCCCTGGGCGTCCTATGGTCCCCTAGAGAATGTTCATAATAAAAATACACAATAAATTGTTATACCACTGTGTAATTTCTTGCTCTTCCTCTACCAAAGATGTGTTTTTATAAGAAGTGGGAATAATACTAGTTCTAGCTGAGGAGTCTTTTTGGCCTTTATTAGATTTTAATAATATAGTTTATACTTCAAAGGAGTCACTTGGCTTAATACTTAGTGAATATGAATCTCCTTGCTGGTAGAGATAAATGCTGCATTGAAGGATGGATTGTATTGGTGGGACATTGGGAACTGAATTAAAATTTAAAAGAATTATTACTGGTTTTTGTTACTTTATTACTGTTTTTTTATCTTTTACCACCATTACACAGTAAGGCCTATATGTACACATACTAATGTGGCATTGCAAATAAACACTAGTTGCTAATTTAAAAGCTAGTTTTCAATAGAACTCTAGATAAAATGTTCCCATTCCATGTTACTCACAGGAAGCAACCAAGACCCACATAATACATAGTAATTTTATGTCCATACTGCTGTTCTAGTATCTCTGCATGAAACTCAGTGTCCTCATTTGTAAGGATCCCATGCTCATGTCATTCCTCTGGACTAGTACTGCCTGAGGAGGTGCTTCACCACTGCTTTTCTCTGGACCCCACTTTCCTGCCAGTGGGAACTGAATCTCAGGGACCAATGAGCCACAGTGTGCAGGTAACTCATGGTGCATAATCTTTGCATTTGGCATTGTTGAGTTCCTTTATATTTACATTCAAACCAGTTCTTTTGTATTCAGTAGATTTTTAAGACAGCTGTAAGAGCATGAGAGTTTCCAGTTTGGGAGGTTTCACAGTGAAAATTGCTTTTTATTTAATAGTTACAGTTATTTTTGGGCCTTTGTCATGGTTTCAAAATAATTACAAAAAATAATTCTTTTTGCAGGGTCATACTCATCATCATATGATCCTCATATTGGTTATTAGATGATTGTTTGATTTATACAGTAAAAAAGAGGAATTAATCCCAGAAGAACTCAACAGTAGTGCCTATGGCTGCAACAATAGTATAGGCAAGATATACTAAGTGCTTGCCCAGCTCTTAATTTTGACCAATGCTGGGTCTGAAGAAATGTTTTCTATTCAGTTGCAGCTATTGTTTGCAGGAGCTAAATGTTTTTCACTGATCTTCACTGCAAGGTTATCACCTTATAATTTATTATATGCAACCACAAGGAGGTTATGGTTTATGGCTAGTCACCAGAAATATTTTTGATTTTCTACAAAATAAAGCTTATTTGTTAGATTAGGTGTTTTCAGTTTTCTGAAGACAGAAAACATGTAGATGTCTATGCATAATCATGCATTTGTATAGTATACTTTTTCCTCCTGATTTAGAAATTAGACAAAGAGAGACACAATTGTTTAGATCTCTTACTTTTGGTCCTGGCAGGCCTTTTCCTGGGGGTCCAGGAGGGCCAACTGGTCCTCTACTGCCAGGATCACCCTGAAAGCCAATACTTTAAGAAATAAGTAGTGAATACCAAAGTTTAATTTATCTCTAAAATTCCAAGCATCTGTTATACCCAAAAGGGACAGAGAGAACTATTGAACTGCACTGTGCAAGTCCAAACAATGCTAACCCAACTATATTGCTGGCAGGGCAAGAAGGTTATTTGGGATAAACAGTGGCTAGTAGTCTAAACATATTCAAGTCAATTATGCACATTTACACAGGAATTACAATTCCCATAATATAAAATGAACTCTAGATTCCCCAAACCAAATAAACCCCAGCAAACCTAAACCAAAAAAGGTCTACCTTTTATATACTGAGAAGAAAGTTAAAGCTGGGTTAAATAGGTATTCTGACTATGACCTATAAGTAGGAATTGGATCTCTATGAGATAGAGTATACACAAGCATTTGCTTTTCTAGAAGTTAAAGTCTGTACCTTAGGTCCTGGTAGTCCAACTCCATCTGGACCTTGTTCACCAGGAATCCCAGGGAGGCCTGGCAATCCCTGAAATTGTATGCACAGACAGAATATAAATTTAATTTACAGCTACATTTACATTAGGATCATTTGCATGTGTGTTGCATGTCATGCAGGGGATTGAATGTGTTTGAAGGTAGAGGAGTCTAATCTGGAGAGGCAGTTGCAGAAGCAGTTCTTCATCAGGTTGCACAAAAATATAAGAAAGTATTATAAATCAGTTTACAATTTCCATGTTGATATTTGTTAATTTTTGTTCCTCACTGTGGCAAATGCAAGCACTTTTGCTGTTGTCCTTAGCACAGGCAAATGCAAGTATGTGTGATCCGAACTCCCTCACTGTAGCCAGCGATCCTTCTGAGACTTCCTTGCTGCAGCAGGGGTGGTGCAGCACGCTCATGAGCAGACTGCATATGTGAGGCCGTGTCGCACATATGTGCAGGGAAGGGAGAGGAAGGAGCCTTTTCTCTTTGTATCCTTTTTGTAGGGATTAGTTATATCTACCAATAAAGGCCTCTGCAAAGAGTTGTTCTAGCTCTTTGCACACCAGTTGCTTTTTCAGTGGTTCTGGGATGTGTATGGACCTGGCTGCTTAGTTAGATTGCATTTTCCTGTTTGGGAATAAATTTTATATGGTTGGGCAGAAGACGGGACCCTACATGAAGACTTTGAGGGAACTGATTGAAACATCAGTCATACTTTGGAGGAAAGAACCCACTTGGAATATGTTACAGTGTGTAATCAAGAGAAATGGAGGACAGGGATGATCTTGTGCTATTTCAGAGGGAGATGTAATTTTCTTCTGTGCTGAAGTGCATTTCCACAGTTGAGGAGTTTTAGGCTTTTTAGGCTTTTAGACCAGCAAATCTTTCCTAGCATGTCACACATGGAGGATAATCCCTTAGGTGTAGCACTTCTTCCCAATTCACATAAAATAAAAATCTATAAACTTACAGGTGGGCCAGGATAACCATCTCCTTTTTGTCCAAAGGGCCCAGGGGGTCCTGGAAGGCCTTGGTCACCCTGATGAAGGCAGGAAAAACAGCTAAGTGAATGCCAAGACAATTGCTAGCAGGAAATTATCCATTAAAGTTAAACTTACTTGGCAAATATACTGTAATTTGATTTTATCTCTCTATCGGCTCATGTATTTCACGATGTGAATTATTATTTTAGGTTTATTTAATCCTAGACTAAGCCAGTGACATTTAATAGTCCTCATGATTTACAGGACCTTTCACCCCTAAGTCACTAATTTTAATATTTTTCAACAGCTCTGTTGTCATTTGTGGCCTACATATAAGAAGTAATTACTTTAGTTGTATTCTCCATATATTTATCATCATTTGTTCTAGGCTCTATTTTCCTATAATGCTGTGGAACCTCATTAAACCTTTTGAGTGTAACAGGATCATCCTATGGGAAATGAACAACTAAACTCCTTTCATGGATCAGACAGCTGGAGTATCTCAGGAACAGTTTTACCAAGAAAACTCAGAGGACCCTAACCCTCCCAGCCACACTGGGGGGGTGCAGTGAGTTGCTTAGTTGCAATAGAATGGATGATCAAGATTGCATTTGTTCCTGTAGCTACCCAAAATATGGGCATTTAAAACAGTGGCAAGAAAAGACCCATGCAAAAATAATTCAAAAAAATTAGACTGTAAAACACTTTACCCTGTATGGCTTTACCTTGTATGGTTGTGTGTCTAAGAACTAAGCAAAAGCAGAACAACTAATGCTGGCAGAGACAGCAAGAAGTGAAGATTGTAGTCACAGAAACATGCAGTATTGCCCAATTGAAAGAGTTTTGCAGGGGCTTAAGGCTGAGGGAGAGAGACTTGCAGCTCTGAGCAAAGGGTATGCTTCCAGTTGATTAATTCCTGTTAGATCCCTCAGAAATGAAGACAACATTAAGTTCTCTGAATTGACTGGACTATACCAGAAAATTATGTGATTCCATCAGCATAAGCTCCTCCTGATGAAAATAAATGTAAAAATCTTGAAAACCATCAACTGATCAAAAAAGGATAGAGATTGTCATGTTTCTCATACTTCTGTTACTCTGTTCAATTCACTCAAAGAACAAGGGATTAGGGATGTATTCAAAACTACTGTCAAACTCACTAATAAAAAACAGGTAGGGGAGGGACAGGCAGGATCCAATATATTTGGAGAAACGCAGGTTTGTATGTCCTGAGTTTCTTTGTCTGCAGACAAAATCTTTCCTGGAATGAAGTGTGGCTTATGAAAGTTGAATCTAGGTACCACTGAGGCAGTACTGGAAAAGTGATAGATGAAAGCCATTAGAGATTAGCTGCATATTCATGTTCTTACTCTATTACCCTGTGTCAAAGTTATGAATGATGCAAAGGAGCATGGCTGAGAAAAATTAACTACATGCTAATTAATATGTAGGCAGTTGTAAGCAGGGTTAATCGTGTGTTTCCTCTGAATTCACTCCTCATCAGTTAGAAACAATCATTCTTCTCCTGGTTCTCTGCCATCTGAAAGCCGACAGTTCACAGACTCTAGAGGACTGACCATCTATGGTTTTCCAGCTCTGCAAATCTTTATACTCTGCCAGAGTATACTCTGCCACACATTAAGAACTGTGGAACATTTCAGCGGAACACTGTGGCCATCCTAGATTTGTTGTCACTTCACTGAATTCCTCCTGCCTTATTTTACAGTTGTATCAGAAATTAGTTTAACAATTTAGGAGCTACCTTTGCCCCAGGAAGCCCAAAACCTGGTTCTCCAATTGGTCCAGCAAGACCAGGTAACCCAATTTCACCCTGCAATGAAGAAAATAAATTCTCTAGTTACATATCTTATTAAACACCACAGGCCGTGGGTTTCTTTTATACAAATTCATATATAATGAACATAACAGCTAATTTTATTTGTTGCTGCTGCAAACATTAAACACCAAAATCATAAATAAAAATGAAAGAATAAATAGAATGAAAATACAAAGAATAAACAAAAGTGTTTTGATATCCAAGGTTATTCAAAATAAAGAAATGAACAAAGGTAGGCCACATCTCAAGCTGCCATACAATTAATACCAGGGCACAGTGGTAACTAGACTGGATACAATCCACAACTCTGTTCATAGGAAAGGAGAAGTTTTAGTCGACTTCATAAGGCTGGAATTGTTTACACAAATATTAACATAACCCTCTTCAATTTTCACCCTGGGTTTCTAAGCACTTGGAGATGTAATGTGGATGGTACCTTTGGTCCAGGCACAGATCTTCCAGGAGGGCCTGGCATTCCAAGGCGTCCTGGTGTACCAGGCTCCCCCTGTAGAGAAGGTGGGAGAGAAAAACAATGGATTTTTCTGAAAGTGAGCATGACCATCACATAGAGAAAACATTTATGCAACAATTTACATTTAATTCCATTAAAATTCTGTTAGTATTTCTAATAAGCTATTGTGTGCAGAGATCAGTCAAACTATTTGGAGAACTAACAACCATATTCTGTTTTCTCCATGGAAATGAGATTCTTCTCACTCACTGAACAAATGTGTTTTTAGCAGTCCTTTTCTTAGTGTATTAAAAACTTGGTCCACCACATACAGTGCTCAAGACTCCCTGCCCTATCTGTGTAGGTATACTGAAAACATATATATATTTCTGTTAGAGTAGATTTTTTAAAATGTTTCTTTCAGTGTACTTTTTTACTTCTTTCTCATTTTATTTTTGTGGAAATACTCTTGTGTGTAAAAATAGCGAAAGAACAAGAAACCGGAGGAGAAACCTGGAGTAGCTCCTCTCTCACCTCCAGTAAGTTCTGAGTATTTTAACAGAAACTACAAATCCATAAAAGAATATCAGCCATTAGTCAGTGTAAGGTCTAATAAAGTCCTGTCATGTATTTGTATGCCAAACACCATACTATCTTCTCAAATATTTCAGTATAAAAATATCGGTATATACCTTTACCTTTTCCAAACCAACAGGGAAGCAATATGGTAAATGCAAAGGTTTTTAAAATATACTACTAGATGTTGATAGGGATCATGATGATTCTTGTTAAGAGAAGCCTTTGCTGAACTTTTCTGAAATTATATTTTATGAAACGAGTTCATTCTGGAACAGTTGTTTCTGAGATCTAGAACAATGTACAGCTTTGGGAGACAATTTTACACGTATAACATAGTAATGAACTCACTTTAGCTCCAACAGGTCCAGGCACTCCTGTTGGTCCTGTTAATCCACGTATTCCTCTCTGTCCTTGATCTCCCTACAAAAATGGAAAATGTATGTCACAAATGCCAAGTAATTCAAGAATGTGCTAACGGAAATCTATTGTAAATGTCAGTGAAAGATAGCAAACTTCTATTTGTAGGTGGTGCACATGAGCTCTTCCTATTGCCTTCATTGTAAAGTCAGTTAATTCTGCTCAGTAATTGTCCTGTTTTGTATTTGTACAATTAAAATGACATAGATTTCATCTGAAATTAAATAAACCAGTTTACCACAGAATACTATGAGAAAAATAAAAGCCAAAAGGAATCTTAAAGGAAGAAAAATAATCAAAACAGGAAAATATAATTCACTTGCTAGTACTTTTTTAATTTGAAGGCAAATAGGGCCAATCAACTGATCACAATGCCCTGTCTGATTTACCAGAAAAGTTTAGAATAGTGTAAAGTTCTAAAGATAATCTGCTGCTCAAGCATATTACTAGGCAGTAATAATTACAACAAAATGAAACAACTATGAGTCCAGAATAATATTTTTTTTGTTACTTATATTAGACAAAAAAAAAGAGAGGTCTTTGACAACCCTATTCCTGGACATTACAATTTTCAATGACACCTTCAGTAAGAAATCCTCACCTTTTCCCCCTGTATTCCAATCCCTGGAGCACCTTCAGGACCTCTAAGACCAGGCAACCCTGGTTCACCCTTGAATAGAAAAATCAAAGGAGCACTGCATGTACGATGATGCAAGACAAATTTTGTATTCCCTTGAATAAATTCATTAAAACCATGGACCTTTCCAAATCAATGACAAAACTCCCAGTGATGTCAGGTGTATCCAGGGTTTTTTTTTCCCATATTCAGAAGCAAGCACTGTACAATTCCATGTGGAATCCATGAAATAGCACATTTCCTTAGTGAGAGCTGAACACTCTGAGTATATAACCTTAAATAATGGGGTTCTTGAATCTAGAAAAAAACACAGTCAGAAGCCCATGAAAGCTTGTCCATAGCCATTTTAGTGGTTTCCCTTCTGAGCTGCAGGGCATTTAATGAATTACAAAAAACATACAATATTACACAAGGTAAGGCAATGCCCCACCCCAAAAATTAGAAAAGGTGATATTTTTCCTACAAAAGTATATTAGAAAGAGATTTGTTTTTCTGAAAAATGTGGTACTTTTCCCCTTGTCCATGGACACTCTCTCTTCTAGATTTTGGTGTTAGCACTGTGAGAACAGTAGCAATGTTTGGGGTGAAGCAGATAGACTGCAGAGAGAGATGAACTAACCTTTTGTCCAGGGGCTCCATCTTCTCCTGGAAGACCAGGCAGACCTGCCAGTCCTGAAGACCCTGGATCACCCTGACATCAGTAAAAAGTAAGTTCTTCTATTAAATTCAAACTTGGTACTATTCCTTCTCTGAATTAAGGTAATTTATTTAATTTTTTCCTAAACTTCGTATTTGTAGAAAATATTTATGCATATGAGCTGAAGTCTTATCTTTTTTTATAAAGACAGTTCTTATCACTTGGTACTGTCTTACTGTCTGATTGTTTTGAACTGTGCATTTTATCTATGCAATACAAATTATTTGGTATTAATTATTCAGCTTATTCTTAATAATGCCATCATTTCATTAAGTGGCAGCATTTTGAAGTAAACATCAGATAGAATTGACTGCTACACAGTGACATCTTGTTGATGAATATCAATGCAAATCAATTCATGTCAGTGGAATTATCATGGCCCTATTTATGTAAGAATCAAGAGCCTGACCTGGTTTTAGATGAAATGGGATAATTTAGGCTCAAATGGGTTCAATCAGCATTACTGTATGTTGTGAAATTAAAGAGAGAAATTGAATAATGTCTTTTCTTTTCCAGCAAAATCAGGACAGCCTTGTGCCTTTCCAGTGTCACAAAAGTACTTTTTCATCCATCCCATATTCTATGTTAATCTGGCTGTTAATGACATAGGGACTGGTTACTATCTTGAGCACAGCTTCCTTTCCTCTTAGCAACTCAATTGTTCTTTCACCAGCACAGCTTGTTTCTTATATGAAGGTGTGAGGATGTAGCTGCTCTGTTTCCATCATATTCTGTGTGAAAAGGGAAGGAGCAGCACAATAACCACTGTTCAGGGCTTTTTTTCACCTCTCTGGCTATGGCGCAGCTTATACCTGGGACTGTGAGTTCTGGCAGCTATTTAATATTCTGGATGGTTTACTGGACAGAGGTCTAGGTGAGCTGTGTGCAACGATGACTTGAGCATGAGCCAGGCAGGTGAAAATTTCCAGTCACCATAAGTCTTGCTACATTTTTACAGAACAGATTTTATTTCTAAACCTGTTTTTATGTGGCTTCAGAAAGGATACTCAGGAAATATAAATTTATAATCCAAATGAATAAATAGATTAAATAATTCCTCTGTTAACAATGTACCTTAGAACCAGGTTCTCCAATACCTCTTTCTCCTGGCACTCCAGTCTCTCCTGGCAAGCCTTGTTCACCCTTAAGCAGATATTAGTTTTTAACAGCATTATAATGAAAAATATAAAAGCATATGCTTCATTACTTAAATTTTAAGAAAGATTAGCATGATATTGCCTATAGAAAGATGTGTTAAACACTTGGTCACAAAGATTGGGAATTTGCCACGTGTTTTGAGCTGTCATCAAAGAGCTGTTGGTGGAAATTATTACGGCTATAAATCTATACTTGTATGTCCCTGGGAATCATTCCTGCCAAAGAGCTGAGATTTCAGGAGCATATATGACATTCTCAGACAATTAATTAAATTTTTTTACTTTTTAGCAGTGATAAACATATCCCTGCACAATCATTCAAAATATAAAAGGTGATACTTGCTGCTGCAAAATTCTTTACTTGTCATGGACACTTGACCTACTTATACCTCTAGTTCCCTTTTACCATGCTTTGACAGCCTTCAGTCATTCAGAACTTTGTCTCATCTTTCAGGAAATCTCTATTCCAAACACCTTTAGGGTGATGTCTTTCCTTAAAAGGGTTTTGCGAATCAGTTAAGCCTAAATTATTCTGACAGTTTTTCTTCAGAAAAAGTAGTCTTCCTTACACCTTGGACCATTTTTAGTGTCTAGATACATTAGGTACACAAATTCAGGTGAGACAATAGGTAGCAAGGAAGGCAATCACTAATGTATCTGTGTATATATTTTTCTGGAATGGAAACATACAGTGAGAATAAAAGATGATATGGAAATTGGGATGGCCCTCTCTTTTAAGTGCAACTAGATTTTGTAACAGGTTTATTGCATCTCCACATGATATGTAGAAAGTGCAAGCTGAAGGCAGACAGCCCTCTCAGTGGAACTGTATGAGGCAAAGTGCAGCTCATTGTTTGGTATGTGGTACCTGAAAGCTTCTGTGTGAGTCAAGCAAAAACCTAAATAAATAGCCATGGCATTACTTTACCAAGGTTTTTGGCTGGAGTGGGATCTGCTGTATGGTTTATAATATCAATAAAGAAAACATTTTCCTTCAACTACGTCAATACTTAGACTGGTGTTCAGCAGTCCTATTTAATGTGGATAAGTATAGATAGAAACAGACCATTTCTTGATCATGAAACATAATGGTAAAAACAGCACAGTAGCTTTTACTTCAGAAAATTCCCTGACCTTTGGTCCAGGTATCCCCTGTCCTGGTAGCCCTCTAGAGCCAGGTGGTCCTTTTGGGCCTTCCACTCCCTGAGAAGAGTAGTTAAGTAATTATTAAAAATAAAATAGTCTCTGCTACTATACATTGAAATGTGAGGTGAGGGGAAAATGGTACCTTTTCTCCTTGAATTCCAATTCCAGGTAATCCAATGGATCCTGGTAAACCAGGAGGACCACACTCACCCTGGCAAACAAAGTTCCTTAGTTAGGTAAAGATGCTGAAATAATCTGGGCTATCTCCCATGGTAGTCAGTACATGTTGACTTAACTTCTCTTGAAGTCAGTAAAGCTGGGGATCTGACCTTTTATCTTTCACATGTGCATTTATTCCCCATTGGTTCAGTTGCAAACAACTTCTAGTCTCTTTTTCCCTTTCTAAACCTTAACTTTTACCAATAATCAGATGTTTTTTTCTAACATCTCCTATTTTAATATGAGTAGATATTAAAATGGGTTGGGAGAATCTATTTGGCATAAATCTCAAGTAAATGCCACATTATCCAGTGTCTTTTATGGGTTTCTTTCCTCATTGTACCTCCTCTAGCGAGTATTAACCCTGTATTCCCTGTATTAGATTTATTTGCACTCCATTAAACCCCTGGTGTATTTATTGCTTACCTTTTCACCTTTTATGCTGATGCCTGGAAGTCCACGAGGGCCTTTTGGTCCATCAAAGCCACGGTCTCCCTACATGAAAAAATACTAAGTTGTTAACTGTGGAGACACACAGCTGTTCTCTGAAGTGACTAGAGACAGTGTTTGCTCTGTCATCATGAAAACCAGAATGAAAAGAACCAGAAAACTGCACCTGGATCTGTGTTCCAGGACACCAGAGAGATTATCTTTTCAAAAGAGTTTGTTCTGAAATTTGAGGTTGCTGATGAAAGAGCTGAACAAGCTTCTTTTTTATCTTTCTGCCTACCTCAATTACTTTAGGTCCTGTTCTGCGTCCTCTCAAATCAATGGCAAAAACCACAACTCTTTTAAATTTCTGCAGGGCTGAATATTGAGACTAACAAAACTGAATTCTGCTTATTTTTCTCATGGGTTAATCTCATTGAAGTGAGGTAATGAGGATCTGGCTCCCACTAAGCATTTGCCAGAATGAAGACTAGGTTGAGTGTATTGTTGTAAATGTCACTGTTTTATAAATGTTCATTTACAAAACAGTAGTCTTGGGGAAAGTGCCGGTTACTAATAAGGGTACAGATATTTTGCTTTCCTATACTTCTCTTGATAAAACATGTAGAGGCAGATATTAGCTTGTATAAATTGTCAAAAAATCACCCAAGACAATAAAATTTTACATCCCTGACAGATCTTTTCTATCCTTAGTAATCAATTCTATCATTTTAACTTTGACAGAAATATGAGGATTTCTGTTTAAAATTAAATTCTTTACTCCTGATGCTTTAGAACATCTGCCCTCTTTATCCTTTTCACTAAACTGTGAGCTTGTAGTAAAAAGTCATGAAGAAAGCAACTTTAAAATTTGCTTAGATTAACAAATCACTTGTTTAAAATGTGTTTAAAACAAAAGAACTGACATGCTTAGCAGCCATAGATTGGATTAAATATATGTATGGACTTTGTTGATACATGCTTGGCTCCAGGTTAGACTTGGCAGTAAAAAGCTGTATATTTTTTATGGAATGAAGAGTTCCAATACTGCTGACAGAATTTCACTTTGATAATTTTATTCTGACTATCCATTTCAAATGCTTAATAGTTTGGGTTGGATTATGCATTCATCTGTGTTGTTCCCACTGTGCCTTTTTGTTGTGTTTTAGTTATTAGTTGTAGTGTTTCTTCCCACATGAATTGGCATATCTGTGGCAATTGAGTGATTTTGAAATTAATTGTCTTCAAATTGTATTTTTGCTACTTTTCATTCATGAGATCAGCTAAGTAGATATTTCTCATCATAAAATACACACTGAATATTTGAAGATATATTGCTAGCAGCAATTAAATTTCAACTTGGCTGACAACAGTATTGCTAAGCAGAAATTTTAAAGTTTTTAGTAAAGGGGCAGTTGGACTCTGCAGCTGTGAAAGCATTTTTTATTGTTTTCTCAAGCTGAATTGGTGCTTGCATAAAAATAAGCAAACTATTTAGTTGCTCATTTAGTTCATGAACAAGCTGTGTCACTTTGTTACTGTAACCAAAGGTCAAAGTGACAACTCAGCCTAGGAACTGGTTTCCTGTGGGCTGCAAAAGAATCGTCCATTAAGTCCATCCATGTGGTACAACTTCCACTGCCATTACTTTCACTGGATCTGCAAATTAGTAACAGCACATTTTTTCCCCCACAAACTGAATTCAGTCTTCTGCTAAAATGCATATGCCAGTGGCTGAGGTATGTAAGAAGCTTAGAAGCCTGTCTTTATAGTGACAGCAAAGATCTGTCTATACGAGGATTAAGAAAAAACCCAACAACAAAATGCTAATTTTTTCACCTAGGAACATTTTAATGTTATTTTATTTAAAGTCAAATGCTTGAGGCTGTTTTAAAATTATGGAATTCATTCCAGGCTTAGATACCACAAAGCAAGCATCAGGTAAATTAAATATTGGCTTTACAGGCCCCAAAGGCTAGCTGTGCCTACAAGTCATGTTTGGACCAAGTGAATTTCATCAAATTATATTGGATTGTTTGATGGGAAATTTTAATATTAATTTACAAAGTACTTTCTCAGATTCCTGTGTCTTTTATGGACTTGTTTTGGCATGCACTCATTTAATGGTGCTGCTCTGGTCTTAGAGCCCTTTGACTGCTGTACCTTTGCTCCTGGAAGCCCCTCTCCTGGTAAACCTCTTTCTCCTTGAACACCTTGAGGTCCTTGAGGCCCCTGTTAACAACATAAGTTTAAAATGACTAGAATATGTATTAATCACTCAAATAGACAGCTGTGTGCTCTATATCATTCTTATAAGCATGTCTTCAAATGTTGTTGTAGTTATACTCAGTTATAAATACAACAGTAACACAACATTCCCCGTGAATAAGTGATGAGCATTCTGGCCTATAGCAGTAACAATACCCTTCAGGTTACTAAGAAACCACAGATTATAGAGATGAAATTCCTATTCCTTACATTTTGGAAATTTTCACTCCCTAAATTTCCATTTTACAAATTCTTGCTAATCCTTATTAATGTATCAATATAATCACAAGAGACAGAACAAGATTAAAGCCCATGTAGAGTAATGTTGAAAGAGACATAGCTGTAGAGAGATGTGACTGTAATTGGCAAAGAGAGTAATTGTATGCCCTTCTCTTTTTGAAAGCTGATCAGATACAAGTACAAAGGGCAAATAACAAAAAATTGCATGTCCAACACCTGTGCATATTGAGCCTGCCTCAGTGTTTTCTCTGCTTTTTGAGTTTTTTTCTCTGATTTATTGCTTGAGGTTCCACATACATCACAGAATGCTGGTAGATTTGTCTCCACATAGCCTAAATATGCTTCTCCTTCTGCACAGAGCTTTAGAATCATTCCTGAGGTAAAAATATTTGTACTCTATTAAGCCATTAAAAGGAACTTCTTTTGAAGCAAATAAACTTTAAAACAAATTAAAGAAACATTTTTAGGTTTTGGGTTTTTTTTTTGTTTTTTGTTTTTTGTTTTTTTTGGTTTTGTTTTTTTAAATCAGAATCTCTTGTTATAGCAGTACTTTTGTGGCTAGGAAGGATTCACATCACAGGCACCTCTTCCCCCAGGGAGTGGGTATTTGCTCTATGGTGTTATTGAAGAGACTGCAAGCATTACTGCCCCACTTGGACTGACTGTCACCACCAGCCTTATTTGTAATTCTCTTCTCCTTGGGCTCTTCAGCAAGAGCTCACTGCTCTCCAATAGTGTATTTTCAAGCAGGTTTGAAATCAGTTCACCTACCAAACAATAATTTTCTTTTTCATGGGAGCACCTCTTATGAAAACTTTATTCCAAATTTTGCCTTGTTAATGGTGAAAAGGTACTTGTGAAAAATCTGAACAAAATTGTCTTGTGGTTCCACTAGAAATCTTTCATACAGGTGAAGAGAACAAATTACCACGAATTACCACAGAGAGATTGAGTTTACAACTGCCAGGAAGAGGAAGGGAAAGAAGGAAGAGACTTCAGAGCCAAACCTACTACAAATTCTGAAAGTCTCCTCCTCAAATCCATGCCGATGTTAATGTTCTAGTGGTACTGAAAAGCAGTCAAGTTCAAAGTTATCACATAGGGATTTGACAGATAGATTAAATCTATCAGGGAACAGATTAATTTATATATTTGCATGGTTTTGCATCAGATGTTATATTTTCATACCTGTTTTGGAGATAAAACAATTAGAAAAGTTAAAAAATTGGAAACATTTCCAGTTTATTGAGGGAAATGAGAGTCAGATAATGTAATATGTATAAGAATGAGAAATAGTAGAAGAAAGAAAAGAGATGGTATAATTTAGCACACATTTTTATGGGGAAGCATGGAGAATTTTTGCTTTCCATCCTGCTTTCCTCTCATCAAATAAAAGAATAGACGTACCATAAATCCTGGCTCACCAACTCCAGGTGGGCCAACAGGGCCTGGTCTTCCTGTCAAACCAGTGTCACCCTTCAAAGAAAGATGTACTTTGAATATGCCTGATTTAGGTATTTTTATGTGTGCAGCATTTAACCACTCATCAGGCATTCTGTGCTTGAAATACTAAATCTAGAAGAATACAGGAATGGCAGAGAAAATCTGAGTGTTCTCAGAGTCATATACCATGCAAGGCCCAACAGGCACTGAACTGGTGCAGTTTAACAGCTTTAGGGGACAGCCTCAATTCTCCATTTGAGATAAGACAATTTTGAGTCTAAAAGATTAATTATTCCCTTCATACACCCAGTCATGAATCACTTACTGTCCTTTCCCAAGAGGTCAGTATTTCTATCATAGAGTTTCTGTTCTCTTTTTGCCAGTCATCTAAACCAACAAGTCTGTTTTGTGCAGATTAATTTCTGCTTAAGACTATGCATGTGTTTTAACCTACTTCTTGGGTAGAGGTTATGTCAAGCATAACTACTGTAAAAAAATCCTTTAAAGTATATACTTAAAATATACTTTTTGTTTGCAACTGTTTGCAAACAGTTTTGATAGCATACAAAATACTTTTCCAGTGCCACAAAATCAGCATTTACGGTCTTGAGTTTTCTTGTGAATCAGCAAGTCTATTAGCTCAGCTGTCTTGGTCCTTATCCTACAATACATGCAATACAGAAGATGAGGTTTTTGTACCTTTGGGCCTGGCAGTCCTATTCCAGTCTCTCCAGGCAAGCCAGGTGGTCCAGGGAGACCTCTTTCACCCTTTCAAAGAATGAAGAGGAAACAACTTTGCCTATAAATTGGTGTCTAGGAAAATCAGTTTAACTCACAATGTAGGTTAATTTTTAGTGTATCTTGAATTTCAGGCCATTGAAATTGTCTTACTCAGTAGTTCATCTGTTCATCCTTTCAATGCTTCAAAATTCCCTTGTAATAATTTATCATGTACAAAGGTAAGATATTAAACAAAAGGAAAAATGTTTCATATCATGTACATTTTGACACTCAGGTGTTCTGTGTGTTACTGTTAGCCAGCAGGTGCAAAGAAAATATCAAGACAGATAACAAATAATGTCCCTTATACACTTACTTACAAGGTTTTCTTTATGACAATACTATTTTTGAACTATAGAATTCTTCTTGAGAATGTTCAGTTTCAAGAAAAGACTTGATCTGAGATGCCAAGCTGAATTCCTGTTTGGCACTTAGGGAAAAAAGTGTTTTAAATTGAGAACTGAAGAAATGGAATGGTAAGTAGTATTCTGTTACTCTACCATCTTTTAACTGTTCATTAATAAAGATGGGAGTGTGATTTGGACCTGAATTTGATACAAAGAACAAAGTAATACCTTGCTTAAGAACATTGTAGAGTACAAAACATACACAATTTGCTATCTCAGGTTAAACTGCATCCATTACAAGAAGGGTATAGAATAAAAGGATAAAATCATAATTATTGTGAAGCTATATTAATACCTTTTAACATTAATAAAAAGAAGAAATAAAGTAGTTCTTGCCTTTGATCCTTGCAGGCCTTCAGGCCCTTGATCTCCAGATTGTCCTTGCAAACCCTATTAAAAGAGGAGTGGTTTCAATGAGTTTTTTCAAGCTTTCATAAAAATGTCAGCTTGAAAAAAATCTATTATTTGCTGAAGTCTGTATGAAAATAGGAGTTTTAAATATATCAAAACTGAAGCTTTGCTTTGTGATGCATGTATATATTCAGTTACTCAACCCAGTTGGAGCTGGTTCTGGTGTTCAGGGAGAGAATTTGGCTCTCCCTTTTTTTGAATACAATTCAAGGCAATCTACAGTCAAGAACTACTGAAATATCTACGATGGGCTAAGCTTCTTGGCCATCAGTCTGAGAGTACTGGGATGACAAGAGACTAAAGAGTTTCCATGTATTTCTTGAGGGAATGAAATAGTTAAGACACTGAAAGAGAAATGAGTGATTTTGGTTTTTATGGAACTGTATTTGCTGTGGTCTTTGAGACTGAATGAATTATAAGGATGATTTGTCTAGATTGTCTTCTCCAAATTCTTATTAATTTTGGGTTTGGGTGCCTTGAACACAGCAACTCATATATTCCATGTCAGTAGTGGTATGATACTATTTCAGATCTCTGGATCCCAGGGAACCAGATGTTGTTTTCATAGCTGGTTTTTATTTTTTTTTTCTTTTACCTGTATCCCTCTTATTCCTCTGGGGCCTGCTGGACCTTCAGGGCCCTGAAAGATAAGTGAAAAAAAGGATATATTTTTGTATATTTAGATTTTGTCAAAACCACTTTTAGGTAACGTTTTACTAAGGTGTCTTATTTAGATATCTTTACATTAAAATAGAAACCAAATTTAAGAAAAGCTCAACAGCCACAAAGTATTAAATAAATATTTTTAGGTTGACTGGTAATCAAAATACAGTGTAATGATGAACAGAGTTCATTGTCAAAGACCAGTAATCCAGGATTAAACTCTGTTTGCTCTGTTTGAAATATTTACAGCAATTATGCACTAAACCTTAAAGACTGGAGTTAGAAACCTTGTTTTCATTTTTATGTCTCATTCCATTGGCTTATTATTTCAATACTTCTGCCTTTGTGAAAGTAGAGTTTTACCATTGTTTTGAACAGGCTCAGCCTTGGGCCATAAGAGGAAGTACGTAAAAATGTACAAAGAGCTCAGGAAGTTAGTAAAAATGGTGTTCTTGCTCACTACATATTTCAAAGCTGTCAGCTGTCAATTTCCCTCAGCCTTAGAACTAATATATGCCTTAAATCTATCATTGAGGTTGTTATTAATGGAATTGTATCTTTTTTTTTGTGGGTTAACCATGTTTCTTGGAAACGTAACTTTCTGGCTACTTACTCTGTCTCCTTTTATTCCTGGGATTCCACATTCACCTCTTTCACCCTGGAAAGGAATAGGAATAAATGTTTATGAGCTATATTGGAATATCATCATTATTCTCTAGATGCTTTAGTTGAAAACCTAAATATTATATTATTCAGGATGCAGCAATAGTGCTGCAAGTTCATTGAGTAACAGTTACATCTTCTATTACAGCTTGTGAAGCAGCTTCTAAGATGATGTTATTGTTCCTTACTAGTACTTAAAAGAAATACAGCACTATATATAATAAATAACAACAAAGATGTAGGCATCAATTCTTACTAAAAGAAGTACCTTCTCTCCTTTATATCCAGATTTGCCCTGGGAAAACAAAAAAGCAAAGCAGGTTGACAATATATAACCCAAAATTAGGAACATGAGTATTGGCTTACTTAATATTCTACTCTCTTCAGAAAAATAACATTTCAACTAGAAAACTGATAAATATGGCAATATGATTTGAAGTACTGTGCCTTTTAGTCACTGCAGATGCTGTTGTATGCATAAAAAAAATTGTATGAACATATAATTTTAGACTGGGATTCTGGTGATGTAAAAGCAGATCAAGTAGAGTTCATATTTCCATCTTAGTGAAAAACATGCTAATATAAGAAAACAAGAAAAAGTCACTAATTTAGAAGGATGTATTGAATAAATAAGAAAGCAGAAAGTAGAGGGATTCATATATGAATGAATTCAGAATTACGCACTAAGAGACTGGTTGTATACTTACTTCCTATAGGTATGTCATTCAAAATTTTCACTGCTATTATACACTGGGTCCTTTATTTGTCAAATTTAAATAAACCCAGAATGATGCAGGCAGAGTGTCAATTTATGTAATGTTCTTAGATTATCATATCAGAGCATTTCAGTGTTTTGGAGGTACTATGTATTATTGGAGAGTATTTTCTAGATCACACATATAAGAAGGAATTATTCCTTTTCTTTAAACAATTAGAATGTTTTCAGTTCTTCTAACATTAATGAATCATTAGATAGTAAACCAGAATTGAAATTTGCTCTTATAACAGTGGAAAAAAAAAAAAAAAAGGTGGTATTTCACCTTAAAGGAACACTGCTCACTGGAGAAGAAAGGGAAAAAAATATTTTTTACCTCTGTTCCATCTCGTCCTGGGATTCCATTAAGACCTGGGTCCCCCTATGAATAATTCAACATCAAGATCAGTGAGATAAGGACAAGACAGATCTTTCTCCTAAATCTAAAAAACCAATCACCTTTGCTCCTTTCAGGCCTGGAGCTCCATCATCCCCAGTGCGACCCTTTTTACCCTGGAAACAACAAAATACAATTCTTATGATATATGTTAGTAAAAATAATTTTGCTTTACCATATATATGCTATTTTTCTCAAACTTAAAATATTTGCTTCCTATAGATTTATTTCTCAAAATCTCTGCATTTACCGTAACATTGAAATTGAGTATCTGGGAACAGCAGGACCAACTCAAGAGGCAGTCATTTTCCTTGTTTGTCTTTGTTATGAACAAGACTGTTCAGTTTTCTCCGAAGGAAAGAGGTGATCAGCTGATTTTGTAACTACACAGTTTGCTAAGTGGATATTTTGTTTTCTTCTCAACTCTTTGGGGTGTATGCTTCTGTGTAAGCAATACCTGCACTTTCCATGTAAAGACAGCAAACATTAACCCAAACAAAACTACTGTTTGCACACACTAGAGGGTACATTTTCAATTAAAGTGCATTGTATTGTGCTGCAATGACCCAGGCTGTCCTTCTGTTTGTGTATGTATAGGATATTCAGGTCAAAAGTATGAGGGTGGGCAAATCTAGGGTTCTCTTTCAAACTCTTGACACTATCCCTTCACCTTCAGCAAGGGCTATAGTGCTTTGGTTCAATGTCAGGAATATAATATCAGATCATTCCGTTCTTTTTGAAATGTAAGCCCTGCAGTTTAGATCACCAAGCCTTGTATGAAGCAACCCCCTAGATTTGCTAAGGGGTTCTATTTGTAAGACTATTCTGAAAGAAGTCCAGTCCACTTTATTCCTGTCTCAGTTGTTCCTAACGCTTCAGTATTTTGCTCTCTCTCTTGCTTTCAAAGAGCTTTTTAGATATCAGTGTTTGATTTGAGGCTAGTTAGATCCAGCTGGTCTTGTCTGATTGCAACAGGAATGATGTTCCTTCCTGCCTTTCATCCTGCTAAAAGGAGAACCACACCACACTGTTCTTCCTTCTGTCTGTTCCCACACAGAGGGAGCTTCTCATGGCATTCTCAGGTCTCTCTGGGCACTTCCTGCTGGTGTGGCATCTTCATGCAATCTGTCTATGGAGAAGTATTTATTGACCCTTGAACTTTTGTTGTCTCAGGATTTGGGTTCAAATAATTTCTTATAAAATTTTCAACAATGAATTACAGTTTAATTTATACTGTATATCAGTTATTTGAGAAATGACAGCTACTTACAGCAGGACCAGGAAGGCCTCTTTCTCCCTTCTTACAGTTACATGTGCCAACCTGGGGACACTTGAATGAAAATAGTACAAATCAGCACATTTTAATGGAAGAGATAGCAAACACACAGACATTTCCTTTAAGTTACTGTATGGCTAGTTTAAATGCACCTGTAAAGACCAGAAATTATATTTACATGTTTTACAGAAATCTTTTAGCTATCAGTTTACCACTCATCTAGAATGGGGCTTCCTACACTCCATCCAAAATTTTGTATCATTTCTACTCCTGAAATTTCAATCATCTTGATAATGGCTTTACCTCTAAACTCTCCACAAGGTCAGTTTATGGGTATGCTGTGTCTGTTTTGTTTTCATTGCTAGGCACTATGGAGATAGCCAAGAAGATGAAGTAAAAAAGCATCCTACTTTACTTAATCATCCCTTTACTTAATTCCATTGTATGCAGGTTAGTTCATAGTTTAGCTCTAGGTTGATCTATAAACAGGATATGTATGGATATATACTTTCATTTAGTTAATGCAGTTCATTATAACACTTGATAATCTTTATTTCTCTTCTGTCATCTCTGCCATTGGGTGTTGCAGTCAAACATCATTATGGTATGTATATATCTTATTTTTAAGATCTTTTTGAAACTTTAAGATCATTACATAAATACAGTTATCACAGATACTGGAGTTATTTTTGAAGTAGGGATAAAGAATGTAATTTTTATTTTTGGTTTAGTTATTTGTTAAACCTTTGCTCATATTGAAGATGTCTGGAATTGAAGGGTTTAAATGTCATTCTTATCTGAATACGCAGATTAGTGACAATGTTTTTCAAGGCTAACATTTGAGTGTCTTACTACTTCTATGTTGATGGAGAAAAATCAACATGTCAATGGAAATGAGTGAAAAATGAAATGTTTCAAAGTTTTGTGAACACTCATACTATAAGCTTGAGCTGCTTAGAAGAATATTTTTTGTCTGAGATAACTGTGCCTTAAATAGCACTCATGTCTTCAAAAGGAAAACTAACTTTATTCCCCACAAAATTCCAGCCAGGCCTATCAATGCCTACAGTCAGGGTGACACAGCATGGACAAACTGGAAGAACACAGCAGTGCAGCTTTGAGATCTTTCCCTTTTTAAAACCCTCTCACACAGGAAGAGGATTATGGGCTAGAACTGCCCTGTCTTCAACTCTGTGTCATGTTTTCTTTTTCATTGAGTCTGTAAGAGAGCATGTCAAGATGTATCAACGAATTCTTGCTTGCCTGAATATTCACACATTGTTTCTTTTTCTTTGAAAATACTTTAGGTTAGCAAATTACATTAGGAATTGATAAATTAATAGATAACTAAATACTAAATACATTAGTAAATTACATTAGGAAAGCAAATTAAAGCTCTGTCCTGCAAATTCAGAAACATATTTAAGTTGAAAAAAATCTCATTAGACTCAGCATTTAACAAACTTCCTGAGCTATCAGTTTTCCTGAATTATGTTTCCATATAATTGTAAGTATCTATATTAAGCAGTAGGTCTACATAGGAAAAAAAATACTTAAAATATTTACCTCTTCCTCAGACAGATCTTTCTGTGAAAGACAGATATTGAAAAGAACATTAGAAACTTAAAGTCTTAATCCAGCTCTACAGAAAAGACACTGCAAGATGTGAAAATAAGTAGATTCAACAACTAGCTGATTAAATTATAAAATTAATATATTGGCTAACATTAATTAAACTTTAATTTCTGAGAAACATTCTAGCAATCTCTCCATTCTAAAAAAATAATTTAAATATTTTCAATTCTTATTATAAATTGTTGACTGATATCACTGACTCTCCTTATCCAGCTATAATTTGCTAAAATTACAATGGTAAACAGGTTAGCTAGGTATATGGGAAATTGCACAAACTGCACACAAACTGCATTGTTTACAAACTGCTGAATAGCAGCAACTGCTTAGTAGGAGTGAAGGATAAATGTTCTATACTTGAAAAATCAGAAGCTCTCCTATTCCTACTGTAAAGCACACACAAAATGAGAACAGGAAGAACACCCTAGAAAGTATTTGATAATGATCATATTAAGTTATCATCATTAATTTAGCTGTTATTTTTTAGAAGATCTCTGGAGCTGAGACACCCACATACAATGCACTCCTCCCACTTTCCACAACTAATGAAGTCCTCTTGAGAGGACACAAACATGTTGATAAGCAGCAGTGCAACCCAGATCTCTAAAATTCTCATGTATGCACGTATAGTTATGACAAAGCCATCACTGAAACCAAGGAGCAGCCATGTTATCGAAAGAAGGCACCTGAGGATGCCTGCCTGTTTAGAAGAGGTAAAATAAAGTGTGTTTTGTTACTTGAGAGGTGATTACTGTGACACAGGAAGCAGGGATAGTACCAGAGAATATGGGAAGGGCGCTCTTGAGGGAAACCAATGCAAAGTAGCATGCTGTCAAAGTGAAGGACAGGAAGACAGGAGGGCCAACATAGGTGCATGTTCTAGGCCGGTGTGAGATCACTTTGGTGTCCATTTGATTGCAGAAGTCTCCTGGCTGTTATTTATAATTCTAGTTTATATCTCTGTGCATGCTCAGATAGCGACTCCATCCACAGCTTGTGTCATCAGGTTTATAGGCTAGGGTATGGCTCCATACTTGGCAGGGAATGTTTTTTATGTATGAAGTTTAAATAGAGAAGAAAGGCATCCAAACAAAGCTTCAATTTATATATCACCTTTTGATTAGGTGGTAGATTTTCCATGGAAATTTAAAGATGTCTATCACCAAGCTTAGATTTTATATAAATTGAGCTATCTCCATGGTCTGCAAATTTATTTTCACTTATACAAGAGCTGCATCTTTTTCTGACACAAAAGGCAACTTCAATTTTCTACTTGCTACAGAAAAAAGCACTAGGATGTAGAAAAAGATTGGATTTTTTTAAGGAAAGAGATTTGAAATACCTTTCTTAGGAGGAAAATATAAAAATAATGTTTAGATCTAATTCAGTTTGCAGTGTTAAGTATTTTTGATGACAAGATCTGAATGGTGGGAAAAGAAAGGAAACCTGCATTTTGGCACAGTGATCTCGTTAATAATTGGGCCACTTTTACATGTCAAATGTGTAAGCTTCTTCAATGGTATATTGAAAAAATGTATTTTCAAAATATTGGAAGTCAGACAAGATTTATATATGTTCCTAACACTATTTCAAATTCTTTCTCATACATACCATTTCTTTGAGAAACTTCTCCACAGTTTCTTTCTCCTGGAGGTTGAAAACGAACCTGGATGCTGGGACACTGGCCAGGAGCCGGAGCTTGGCAGCATTGCTAACCTCCTCAGCCACTCTGGTCATTCCCATTGTAAAAAATATAATTCCTTGGTGTTTGGCATCAGCTGTAGCTGCAAAAATATCTGGGTTTCTTGGATGATCCACTCCATCAGTGAAAAGTATGGCTACTTTTACACTACCCAAAGTCCCTTCAGTCATGTAGAGTTGGGTAAGATTAGTTATAGCGTAAGTTGTGTAGGTGCCATGACCTATGTGGGTGATGGGAGCAATGTGGGATTTGAATGCTTCAGGACCTTTCCAGTCATGGAAAGTTTGCTCTATGAAAACAGTGCTGCTGTACTGAAGTAAGGCCATCCTCCAGCGAAGGGTACGTCCAGAACTAAGCTGCAGACTTTTCATTCTATCTACTGTTTGCAGTACAAATTTTTTCTGTTGTTCATGATTATAGTCCTTAGCACTTTCGGAGCTGTCCAGTAAAAAAGCAATTTCCAGAATGCAATCTTCATCTAGAATAAATAGGTATGTAGGTGAGTGGAGTGATTTCATATTAAATATCATTCTACCCTTACATGTATTTTAGGATTCAAGAGTGGGATTGGAATTATGCAAACTTTTGATGTCATCTGTATTCACAGATGTGAGCCCTTTATAGAAGATAGAGCTGATAGAGGCTGAGGAATTTGCTCTGGAACAGATGTCCCAAGGAATAAAAAACTGAAGGTGTGTTGATGTCATTTAGAATGAAATGAGAGATATTGCAGTGTTTTTTAAAATTTCATTCTGTCATCTTGCCTGGTATTTCACTGTATATCCTACTAGCATAGGTGGGAGACATGTACAAGAAAATGAGGCTTACTGAACAAGACACTGGAATGTGATTTGACAGAACTGGATTTTGTCTCTAGTACTAACACTCACATCCAGTGACAAAAATTTCCAAAAGCAGGATCTGTACAGTATTGATTTTCTGAACTATTGACAACATTACTTCTATGAAAATAGAGTTATATGGACTATTATTCTTGTGACAGTAATAGGCTCTCAGCCACATCATAACAAAATACAAATGCTATCTCCTTTTCTGAAATACATAAAAAGGGAAGGAAAAGATGGGAGTGAAAAGATAAAAGTGCAAAAATAAGACATGTGCAAATGTAGGATGAGGCAAACCTGGCTGATTGTAACATCTTAGAAGGCAAGTTAACCATACAGTCCAGAATCCATATAAATAAGGTTGTTTAAAATCACACCTGTTTTAAAATCACAATATTCACCTTGATCACTTGGGCTGGGATATTTTTCTACAATATTTGACAGAATATGTTTAGGCTTTGATCTTCTCAATCCATATATCTTCTCTTCCCTGAGATTTTCTGCTAAAAACTCATGATGTTCAAGTATCCACAAAAGCCACCAGAATCTGAGGAACATCATTTGTTTGTTTCCTAAACAACAGAAATACAGAAGCACAGCAGTACAAGGACGATAAAACATTATTCAATTTTGCTTCAACAGGTTGCTTAGCAGTCTTGTATTTTAAACTATCTTCCCTAAAAACAAACTGATTTTGCTTTCTTTGGGTAAAATATTTTCAAAGCACATAAGAAATAATAAACAGAGACATACTGGAATAATTTTCAAGCATAGTGCATATTGTTCTAGCATGAGACTGGAGACAGACTTTTACAAACAAACTTCAGTTCTCTCTCACTGCCTGGTATTGTTTATACAGCCAGTAGTCCTCCAAATCCTTAGCAGTGGCTGTACCTGTGTGGATGCCACAAGTGTAATTCACAGAGGTGTTTTTTTCTAAACCTACTTGTTCCAGAGCTGACATAGAGAGAAGGAGGTACCAAGGCAAACCTTAGTTTTCCCCTGTTCTCTTTTCTTAAGAACTGATGGTTGTGCACATTTCTCCCTGCTGTCCCAGTCCCCAGGCCCCAACAGTCCCATGGAGGAACAATCGTGGCCTGAGGGTGCTGTCAAGGCATGGATGTACCTGCTGTGCAATCCTGGGGACGTGGGCCCAGAGTGCTGAGCTCAACAGCTACCTGCTGGTAGGACTTTTCCCTTCTGAAGGGTTTATAACTGTCCTGACCTCACAGGCTGCTCGGGGTCTGATAAATCATTCCTGCTGCACTTTGGTTTCATTGCCAGCTCCCTGCAAGCCCTCTCAGGTAGCTACAGTGTATACCCAAAGGGCAGTTTGGTGGCAAGAATGAACCTCCCAGGACTGGGCATAAGTGATCTGACTCACAAAATGCCCTAACACAGCCTTGTCTGCAGTATTTCTGGGTTTCTGATAGCTTACGGTGGGAATTCCTGTGGCCACAGACACAGACATAGAGGGCAGGGGTTCCTTACCTCAAAGTTCCTAAGCAAAAGGCGGTGTAGAGATGCAGGACGCTTCTCTGCGCTCGCTGGCAGCTGCGTTGCCCTCCTTGTGATGGGTGCTCTGTGAGAAAAGGAGGGAGAAGCCAGGCGGCAAGCTCCTGTGAGAATCGGTGTCATATGGCAGGAGGAGCCAGCAGAAAGGAGAAAGGCAAAGAACAGCAATCCTGGCTTCCCCTCCTCCACACCCACCCGCTCCTCTGCTCCCCCCGAGGCTATGCATATGCATTCTAGGTTTAGCCCCCACACCCATTTACACACGAAAATCCTCATTCGTAACTTGGACATGAATGGAAGAGGTCTGTTCTTACCCCGACATACTTCACTACACTCCAGCCCAGTTGTGTTCTCTCTCTCCCCCCATCATTATTACACACACTTTACCCTCATACTTTTGCACGTCTCTCACGCTTGACTAGGCAGCTTTTTGTAATGGACATCATGTAGTCAACATCATCTTAGCAGTTGATGCCTGTAGGATCCCTTTCAAGCCTAAAAGAATCTCCTCATAATGAGGGATTACCATTAACTACTGAACTAAAAAGATATTTACTGTCCCATTTCAGTTCCTGGTGAAACTGTTCAGCATGAGGTGGTCGAAAAAGGCAGGTCAGTCTGAAAGCCAGTTTCAGTTTCTGCAGGTTTGTCTGCCACACATCTCTTTTTAAACACTGTAATAGAGAACAATGACTGACACATTGTATGATGCCTTCAAAATCAAAGCCGAGTGGCTAGGGATCCTGAAGGCTATCTTTTTTTACCAGTGATTGCAGCTTGTCACCTTATTCTTTAAAGAGCCTCATAAAACTTTGCATTCCAAATTAACATATTAAACAAGTAGATTTTTTCTGCAGAAATACTTTTTTTTTTTTACTGTGGACTTACCTTTTTCCACCAACAGGCACACAGAAGATTCAATGCTAACTGCTGTCTTCCTTTCCATATTGAGTGTCCACCAGCTCAGCCCACTTATCACAGGTATAGACAAGGCAGCTGAGGAGATTGTGGGGAAGGAATGCAGCTTTGGCTCCAGGTTAGGACAATGCAGCTGAATGTTGAAGCCATTTGCTGTGGTTCTAACACTATTTTCTCTTTTCCATATTTGCCGGTAATTAGTCCAAAATTGGTGAACTAGGATGGCTGAATGCAACTTTACATGTTGTATGGCTGCTTATCCTTACCAAAGCTGAAACTAACCCAGCTACAGCTATTTGTGCTGCAATTACAGCTAAGAAAGAATCTTCTTTCAGGGCTGTAAAGAATTGATGTTTATTTCTCTCCAGCCACTTTGATTTTTCTGTTCTTAGACTGTCATATTCCGATTTTGATTAAGGCAAGGAATGAAAAGGCAATATCCTCCAATTTAGGAATACAAATGATATGTTTTTTATCTGCAATAGGTGTAATAAATCTCCCATAGCCCCTAAATCTTACTGAGAAGAAAGTCTAATTTTAGCAAGAAAAAGCATGTTATTTATGATTGGGCTTGTATGCTTCCCATAAGCAAAACATTATAATTCTTTCATTTTCACTGCTAATTCCTACCTCAGAACATAGCTGGCAAATATTTTCTTAATTAAGTAACTGTTCTGCTTACGTGTTTAGTATCAAGTTCCAGGCTTCAGGCTATTTCCTTTTATTGGTGAATAATGTTTATCTTCAGGACAAATTTTTTTCTATTTTTTTCTTGACCAGGTGCAACTTTAAAAGCTTAGTGAGGCCTCCACATTTTTATACCTGTTTGCATAGTATTATTCTGTCCAGAATTCCAGCTATGTCACATAACACAGTACACTTCAAGACTTGCAGTCTTCTGAACTTGTGAAGTTCTCAATACTGCACCATTCTAATAGTGACAGCTTATCAAAACCTGAATGGTACCAATGTAAAATATGTATGCCCTTATACATCTGAGGTAATTCTTAAAAATAAAAATTAACAGCAAGACTTCTTGCCTCATTTACCACAAACTTTACTAAGTGCTTATTTAATATTTCAATTGCATTACACTGTATATATTTTTAAAATAAAATAAATGCATTCAAAACTATGCTAAGGAACATTTATGCTGTCATTTAAGTGTTATAAATTTATTGCTGAAATTTAATTTCTTTTGTAAAGGAGTAAAAAAGTGTTGTATTTTTTCTTGAGTAATCTAGACATTGAATGCTTCAGCAGACAATTAATTGCATTTACATTCCACTAATATTTAAACATATTTCATTATCTTTTACACCTCTGGGAGATGACTACAGACTTCTGTACTTAGTTGACTAAGTTGGGTCTGGCTATCTTACCTCATATATGCTTCCAGGAGTCATCTTTGCAGGAGTTGAAGACTGACATGAATATAAGGCTATGTCATGATTGCACCAAGTGAAGCTGAGATCACAGATAGAGCTGCATATTCAGATCTCTGAATTTTTTCCATCACTGTTTGAAATCCAAGAGCTCTCAGCTGTCTGATCTCAGTATTTCAAATCTTTGAAATGACGTCTAATACTTTTTCTCAAAGAATAGAGGGGTATATTAGAGCTATTTAAAACCACATCTAAATAGGTTATACTCAATCAAAGGGAATTCTTTGTCATTTTAGAACCATGAAGAAAGGAATAATGAAAAAAGATCTGCAAAATCTTTTTGTGTGTTTAAACACTTGTAGGAAAGGAAAAAAAGTGATATTTATACCCCTTTGTTGGTGGCATTATCATTGCATAGGTGGTGACAGCTTCAGAGCTACATGAGGTTGCAAGGGCACTTTGAAGGAACACTGAATGAAGAAGTGGGGCTTAGATGCCACTTGCTGTGGTGTAGCATGACTTCTTGTGTTGGCAACAGCCCTCACTATTGCTCCTAATGAGCAGAAGTAGCAGCAAGCCTGGCAGTCCCAGAGCTCTCTTCTTCATCTGTCCCTCCCTTCTGTCTGTGAGTACCTCCTTTACACAGACTCTTGAGCCTGGTCTGGCTCAACTGTGACTCCTTCATCCACTGTTTGACAAAATTCAAAACATTATTGAGAAGTCTTGAGTAATTTCTCTTAAGGTAGGGTAACTGACATCTTCTAGCATATCATGTCACTAGAATGTGATAGAGTCCTGACTAACCCTTCAGCTGTCCTACAAGCCTGCAACATCACTAGATAGGAAGTAATCATGAGCCAGCATAGCTGGCAAAATACCATCTGAGTATTTCCATATGCTAAAAGAATACTGAGCCACCGAGAAGGACAGTTTATGGGAACAGCATGAAGTAGACAGAATTTGGTTTTCCTCTGCTCTGATGGTAATTGTTTTGGTCCCAAAGAGCTTGACATGATGTTTCTGAAATACGTTTTCCTTTTTTTGCTACTTCAGTGTGAATTATTCACATATCATGTCTGCTGTGAACTGTTAAAAATATGCACACTTCACACAAACTTATTCTGGGGCTTCATGGCCTCAGGATAGTCTTGACCATTTAACCTGACTGCCTTATGGTGTAATGGTATTTCAAGAGTATTTATTTCATTATATTATACATGTCAGAACATGACCAAAGTGCCCAGAAGAAATAAAAATCTATCTGACTTGAACTTGTAAAATAATGAAAGCACATCATTTGCAATATTTTGAATCCTGATACTAAAGAGCAATGTTATAAAGAATGTGGTTCACAGTCCTGTAGTTGTATCATGTATACAAATTTGGGGGGAAATTTGAAATTTGTGAAATAATTGAACAAGAAAATTTTTTTTTAAAAATCAGAATTTTACCAAGGATTGTATCTCAAAAAGATAAAATAGAAACTCGTATTTCAACTTTTGACTACAGAATGTATTCTAATGAATTTGACAGCTCAGGATTCAACTGAGCAGTCAGTTAAGCATGGTTAAGTCTTGACAAATTGACTGTTTGTCAAATTTGAGGCTACAGTTTAAATATTTTTTAAATATGGACTTATGTTCTGCAACTTCACCTGGTTCTGTATGAAAAATGATCATCTAATGGTACAGCCTTGTAGAAAACAGTAAAGAAATCTTAGTATATGAAGGTAGTTGCAGAACTATTGATTCCAGCAAAATCAGAATTTTGTCTTTCTTTTTGGTAGAAACCTTGAGCATGTGGCCTGAAAGAGCTGATCAAAGCAAATCAGGCGTTTTCCTTTGAACCCACTGTCACAGGAATGCTGTAAACAAAGGCTTTGATGGCAGAGACTTGCTCTTTGTATAGTTCCCAACATATTTTAATGATTCTTAGAGGCTGGAGTAGTAAACATGTCTTTTTCTGTTGCAGCTGGTATGGACATGATTCTCCATTTTCCTCTTTTTTAATACTGCTTTTCTGCAATGTTTTTCAGGAGGTGTGGTAAGGAAAAGACTTTAACATGGCATAAAGGGGAGGAGGCTGTCTACAGTATTTTCCTATTTTATATAGAGATAATACAGCCAAAAACTCACTCTGAGCATTTTGGTGGTAAGTAAATACTCATTATCTGCATGCAGTATCAATCATCAATATCAAAGCTTTTTTTGGTTTGTTTTTAAGGTGTTTGTTTATTTCTACTTTTATTGTAATAATTCTCCTTTCATTTTCAGTTTGCCTCACCAAGAGATATTTTCCATCCTACAGCCTAAGTAAGCATATCTATATATAAGCAAGTTATTTTCAAAAGTATTTGAAGCATTTAGCCTAACAAGAGAATGAAAGCATGCTAATAAAATAGTACAGTTACAGTTTTAACATACTAAATATTCAACTTAACATTTGATGGTTTATTAAAGATAAAGATTTAATTTGATTTGCTATGTTGGTGCCAATGAAAATGTATGTGACGAGTAATTATTTTGAATTTGCTATTACATGCCAGTTGCTTCTTATTGTACCCTACACTTTGCATAATTATTTTCTTCCACCTGCCTGATTTTCGGGTTGATAACTGTAATTAGCAATACAAAACTCTTTTTAAAATACAGTAATTACATTTTTAAGGAGTGGAAGCTCATGTATTTTTAAGGAGGGTGTAATAAATAGCAGGTGCATTAATCTCACCTAGCACATTTAAGAAGATATTTTCCAATAACTTAAAGCAGAATAACTCTGCTGGAAATATGATCAACTAGTTAAAGCATGTTGCTGTATGTAGTACACCATATTAGCAAGTGACAGAGACTTGGTAGAAAAAGTCACGTTCTATACAGTTCTAAAGTTGTGATACTTTTCATGCTGGGAATAAATTTTGTTTTCAGAGAGGTGATAATTTATAGTGTTGTAAAGAGGCACACATTTATTGTACAAGCACTGTTGTCAGTCTAACTCTAAACTTGCATAAATGATAAATGTTAGAATTTGATCTTCTGACCTATTTTCAAACTGTTTGTAATGCACATTAGCCTCTGAGCTCAGAGCAGTAATTGTGCTTGTAAACTAGCCCTCAGAGCTTTTAATGATCCTGACCAGCCTCTCCTGACACTCCCACCCATACCCCTGGCACCTGAGGGCTCCATTTCAGCTCATCCTGAGGCCATCAGCCTTGCCTATGGTGGTGCAAGGGCAGGTGGGGCACTGGCTTTACTACAGCCCTCTCTGGATATGCCGGTGTCCTGTACTGTCCCATTTTGGTGCCTGATACCCTGGGTATATACCAGCCCCTCTCCCCTGCTGTGGGCAATGGGATGAGAAGCCCAGCTCTGCAGTCCCGTTTGGGACTCCCTGTTCCCCCAGCCCCAGGGATGCTCCTGACAGACTTGGTGCCATTATTTACAGGTCAGGTGTATCTTTCTACTCTGCTCCTGGTATTATCATATATTAACTGTAACGATTAGAGAGGTGGGACTAGATTCTCTAAATTTTTTAAAGCTTGCAGGATTCTTAACTTATTAAATGCTTGTGTGTAGTGCTATAAAGCACCTGACTTGTTAGAGGCTTTTAAGAAAACAAGTAATTTTATACATTATGTGAGTTTTCAACCGATTTTTTTTGTCTTGTGTATATTATTGGACAGCTGAATCTTTTCAAATGTTTTTCAGAAGGGCTCAGAAGGTCTGGAGTAGAATCTCAATGTGGAACCTTAGTTCTTAAAAAATCAGGTTAAAAAAAACCAAACAAAAAAACCAGTTCCAAGATATGTCCACGGGGTGTCAGGCTTGATTCAAGTTTGAAGGTTGCATCGTTACTGCTGACTGCGCAGGTTGGCTGGGAGATGACTGATAGAGTAAGGCTATTAATAGCTGTACCATAGATAACAGCTTTTTTTAAAACTTCATGAAACTGACATCATGTAGGAGTAACAGAACTATCACTATAGCCACTTTGTTCAAAAAGAGACCAAAACACTAATATGGTAGGTGTTTTTACAGTTTGGTTTTTTTTTTTGTTTTGAATGGTCTATTTGGGCATTGTGCATTACCTATGGATTAGAAATACCAGGATGGGAATAGCTAATTTATCCTCCCACCTGGCCTGTAATGTGGGGTGGGCTACCAGAGGTGTCTTTGACATAGAGAGAAAAGGGAGGGATAGATCTCTTATATGAATAGCCTTTGCCTATTGCAGTAACTGAGAGTTTGCTAGGTAAACAAGGCTGCTTAGTATACTGTTGCCTTTTGCTTGTACTTTTCCTAAGAACTTACACCTTTTTAGAGTTACTGTAATGTGACAGACCTTCAGCCTTCTTTTCTGAAAACTTCTTGTAAATCCTCAGTTTTTCTGTTCTGTGGAAAATAAAGTGGACTTTTGAACAATAGATTTCTATACTCTCTTCACAAAGGTATTTTTTACTTAGCTTTGGATACTGCATACACAATAAATGTCTATGGCTATATTTTGTTTCCTTATATTAACCATATCTTCACCTGATGGCCAGGGAAATGAAAACATTACATACAGAGCATCAAATAGTAGTCAATTAGTTTTGCTACACTCTGTTGGTGACTATTAATATTCTGTATTGTTTCAGTGGTTGAAATTAGTTCTGTTTTGGATCATCTCAGAGTACAAAGACCTTCAGAAAAGAGTAATCAAATTCAAAGGAATGTGTAAAAATATAATTCTAGTTAAACCAGATTAATTTAAGAAGCTTTCCAAAGTGAGAAAATTACAAGCTCATCTCTTCAGTCTTTTTCTGGATCCAAAGGCAGCCCAACACTCTGCTCCTTCTCCACTTCTTTTAATTAACTGCATTAATGGCTCACATTTTCAGGAAATCTTTTTTCCCTGATAAAACTTTTCAAGAATGAAGTGGTAGCGCTGATGAAGGTGCCATAACTAGGAAGGAATGTTCCTTCTAGTTAAAGTTAAGAAATTTCTTAGTTTTGTATTTCTTATATTGAGACAGTATGTTGAGCTGAGAACTTCAAATACATGTTAGCTGCATATGAGAACATTGAATGACCTAGTGCCTGTGAGCAGGATCCTGAAACATCTTCATTACATTTTTTTTGTTCTAGGCAGTTTTTTATGTGGATATGTGAACTCAATTAAATTAACAGATTAGTGGGGGTTTTTTTGTTTGTTTGGGTGGTTATTTTTTTTTTTGTGTGGAGCATCTTTAGTTATTTCACAGTGGTTTGTTGACATTAGAGATGCTGTGAGCACTGTGGGACAGAACTGCTCAAAATATAGTTCAAAACTCACTTCCATGAGTTATGTAACGACATCTACTGCGTTTCTATAGAGGTTGCTGAGTCCTGGGATGATGGTTCTAAGCTGTAACTGGGAACTGGGAGATGATGGATGATGCAGTAAGATTAGTAAACAGCAGTACTTTTAAAATTTTTTTTGCATGCTCGTGGAGCCTGACCTAGACAAAGCAGCAACCACTTACACAAACAACCTGCCTGTTACTTGTGCTGTGATGCAAAACAGTGGATCTTAGACCCTTTTGCCTCCTTGGCTTGAGAACTTCTTGAGAACTTCTTACCCCTCTCTAAATATATGCAGTTCTAGTGGGAGGATTTTAAAATAATTTGAGGGGAATAAAAGTGATGTTGCCTCAAATGTAAATGCTTGCTCCTGGTTCTAATCATTGTATATCATTAAGCATACTGTGCATAGTTCAGAGTTACTCTGTCAAATGCAAGCAGGAGGAATTTGCAGTTTTCAAGGATTTTGAGGTAGTGTTCTTTGAGTATTGTGTTTCTTTGCTGCAGTCTTCACTATGTTAAGTATTTGGTCCATCTCAGCCCTGTGAAGAAGATAAAGTCAAGAAGGAAGAAGTCCTTTGTCAAAGAATGAGACTTTAAATGTACTGAAAGCATTACTATTTTATTTGCTTTTAAAAGTCATTCATGGCATAGCCCTTCCTGAGTAGACCATCACAGCTGATGTCTGTTTCCCAGGTCTGTTAAATGTCACCCCAGAGATGAGGAAAAATTTCACCTCCTCCCCTTAAACCCTTTAAGCCAGGGGCAGCCCAAGTAAAGATCACTTCAAAGGCAAAGCAAGGTTTTTTGTTTTTGGTTTTTTTTTTACATGGCATTGCAGTGACAGTAGATGGTAGTCCTAATTTTACTGCCACAGTTAAATGTTGTGACTATGCCTAGTTCTCTTCATATTTGTGCATATCAGGAACATCTCCTGTAAAGATGCTGGAATTGCAGTAGCTTAAAATTGATGTTACAGAAATGGAATCATTCCCCATACACAATACAAACTCTAAGGGAGAAAAGGCATGTGACTCGACATCCCTTATCTTCAGCTGCAACTCCTTTCAGGACTGCTTAGATAAGATTAAAAGAACCAGGCTTCCTTCCAACCATCTCCCACTTTTTCACCTGAAGAAATTTGCTGAGAAAAAGAGCAGACTCTAGCTGCAGAATTTGAGCCTGCTTCTAACGTGCGCAAATGCAAACACAAATTCGGATTCAAAGAAAATAGAGCTCATTTTGGCAAAGATGCATGTGAAACTGAGCTCTTTTTTGATGTTGCATTTGAGTTGATAGAAAAGATTCTGTTGACGCCTTTTTGTCATTCATCCTTGGTGGAAAATTGTGTAAATCAAATAGTAAAAAGAGCTGCAAACCAAAATCTGAGAGGTTTCTTCCAGACTGTTGAATTTAGTTTTGGTTTATTTTATTGACTATTAGTTTAACCTTAAGTTAAGGTAAAGACTTAAGACTTAAGTTTCAAACTTAAGTAGTCTGAAAATATAAATTATAATGTTCTCTGGAAAACTTTACCTCCGATTCTCCTCACTGATGGTGGGGGCGAGGTTATTATTTTAGTCTAAGAAAAAACAAGCGATGGGAGTTACCATCTCTGCTTTGTTTGGCAGATAGGGGAATGAAGACATTAAGATCAAAATGGCATTAAAGCTAAGAGGGAATATTTTATTATCTTCTAGGGTAAACCCACTAAACCAATGTTTGATGTATTCAAATTGCTTATATATATTTACATTTATTTTTGATCTCTTCATTCTGTAATTGGATTCTAAAATGAACAATGATGCTACAGGAGAAATAGTGTTTGATGAAGCCCCTAAAAATATTGAAATTTTGTACAGAAGGCTCAATACCTGCTGCCAGCTGATTTTGTGTTCCTGAAAGCATGCATGCCAGCAATGTCTCAAAAATCTATCAAATGCATTATTCCTGTAGATATTTAAACCAAGGGCAAAACTTCTTTTTGGGAATCT